GATTCCGTGCAGCGGCAGCGCGGTAGCGGGGACGGGCAGGGACGGAGGCGAGCAGGCAGGGAACGGTCGCCACGCGTCGGCGAAGGCAGGCGATGCGCTCCGACCCGGTTTGTCCTGGAGGAAGCTACACATAATTAACAAAGTCTGCTACAGTAAATAAGTACCGCGATAATAGAGCTGCGCTGCAGTGCGACTACTGCAGGCACCGCATCAGAGGTGAGCTCACCCGTACCCAGCGCTGTTCACAGCTTCCTCCACCATGCCTCAGCTGTAGGAGGCATTTTGTACTACTACAAAACACATAGTAGAAGGTAAAGTGCTTTATTAGACATTCTAAAACATACAAATAATACATAATACACAAAGGTTAGAAGAACAGTGTTGGCACTGATTTTGCACAGGCGTTAAAACTTTTTAGCCAGAGACCGGGCTAGATTCCAGATGATAGGCGAGTTCAGCTGTTCAATGGTGCTTATCTTGGCATTTTTACGGCTAGCGTATTTGTTCTTGGTTGCCTGCAGAGGTAAGTTTGATTTAAGTTTAGCCTGTTCATAAACTTACACTATTCCAGTTTACCTTTGCCTTTGGTGGTCAAGCCAAGCCCATCCTGGCACACGCAACCAGTTCATGGCTGGCTCACACCACTTTGGCAAGAACTTCAGTTAAAGTCTGCCAGTAGTGGCTCAGCTGAGCCAGCTTCAGAGCACCACATACTGCCCCCCTGCACCGTCAGATTCTTACCGTCTCCTTGGCGATGCCCCTGTTCACAAGAAATAGATTCTTTGCTATGTGCTGCATAACTGGGAGGAGGTCATTCTCAGTATAAGATGTGTAGCGTTGTAGAGTTCGTGTCTGAAAGGAAGGGAGGTCATTAGACAACCTTACCAGAACAACCCAAGTACACTGGTTTCTTTATCTTCTCTTGGGCAATAGTGGGCTCCTGCCTGCCAGAGGAAGGTTAACAATTACTGCCCCCTTGTAATGGGCTACTGGGAGACAAGCAAATGCTGAAATACCACAAGGAAGAAGGAAGTGGGCACTTGGCCTTTTAAGCTGGTGCAGAGGCACATCAGGTCCCAAACTAGGTGGTCTGACAAGCACAGCTTACCCACTCACGTCCATTGAGGAGTTTCAGAGACAAACAGGAAGCAGCTGCTGCAGTCTTGGATGGAGGGAAATGAACCATATCATAGTCCACAATGGACAACTCCATCAGGTATTTGGCCAGAACATGCTGTTTCATGTCCACCTACAGTAAGAGAGAGTTGACCATTGGTTATCTCTGAGGCAAGAGCATCCTGTCAAGCCTTTGTTTAATCAAGCAGGAAGAAATATTTCCTTAGCAAGTGTCTTGAGAGCTAGAGGCTTGAAATTCAAGTGGCTTAATTGCAGAGCAGTTCTGAGCTGTATTAGGCTGCTCAGTCTAAGACCACTCCTTTCAGTGGTGGTCTAGCAGTTGCCTGCAGTACCAGGCAGGTATTTTAACTCTGGTTTTGGGTGGGTTAGGCTCATGTGACTGAAGGCAAACAAGACCTGTTTCTATGTGGGAGAAAGGCCTTCATCTTAGCTGCTGAACTCCTGTAGTACTCAAGTTTTGAATCTTTTAAACAAGCTGCCACAGGTGAGAATTGCATTTTTCAGATGCTGCTTATATTGACATGTGTTCTCAGCTCTACCTCTGCAACCTCTGATGCCATCCGTAGGAACTGCGAAGCTAGGGGACGACTCAGATGAAAGTCCAGGGCTTGCAGGATCTTAATCTCCATCTCACAGATTTGGCTGTTTGTATAAGTGCCACCAGTTATATAGACAAAGTCTGCAACACGTGGGGGATGCATCTCTTCATATTTGCTGGCAATTAACATAGCTGTTACACCAACCAGCTGCAACATCTCCTTGGAAACAGCATTGCCCTGTAGTAATAAGCAGTAGAGATTTATATGAATCATAGAACTGAGCTCAGAACACAGCTTTTCAAGGAAGCCAGTGTAAGATTTGTTAAATGGCAGCATGTTCATACTTGCATATACAGAATAACTGTGTATCATCTCTTGCAGCCATCTGCAGGGGTATTGGAAGGCTTTGAGATCAAATCAGGTAGAAGAGTAAGCAGTTTTGATACATCAAGTCCCTGTTCATAGCTGAGTGGGTTACTGTAGTGCATACAATTCAACACCAAAATGCCTTTTGTCGGTCAACTGTATTTTGTTAAGGGTTTCATGTCTACGTATGGTATTACCTATCAGTGCTGTTCGTGCTCTTGCTTAGGGAAGAAGGAATTTCCTGACAGAGGGCAGAGACACTCACCTGCAGGAAGCAATCTATTATGGCAACTGACAGGTACAAGGTGTCCTGCAGGAGTCTGAACTTCATCTGTACTTGCACAAGCCAGTCTATTAGTATGGCACGCATTTTCCCATTGATTTCTCGTCCAGCCAGGTATTTGGGTCTGACAGGTTGGTTTGCCTGTGTGGGAGGAATAGGGTTAATAAATCTATTCGCTTAGCTAGAACATTGCAACATCTAGCCTCTGTGGCATCTTATGGCTTATCAGAGTTCAGTGTAGGGATAATCTTTGGGTGTAGGCCACAGGGCACAAGGTTTCCCTGTTTACTAGAGATGGGCTAGAAGGAGCATGGTATTAGTACTAGCAGATGATTGGTCTAACGAACAGTATCTGTTTATGTTATCAGCTCAGTTTAATCTTACGTTTTAAATTGGGGGATCGCTTACTAGTGCCTCAGGAAAATTCACGAGTGAAAGTGAATACTAGCTCCAAGCCACACCTATGACAACAGGTTCAGTGTAAGTGTCAGGAGATGCCCCTTGGGCTCTGGCCTGCTCCTACCAACCTCAAGCTCTCTCAGATAGTTGTAGATGTCATTCACGTAGTCATGGCAGATGTTTAGGCCTTCATGATCTTCAGCAACTACATTTTCCACTTGAAGCAAGACATCTAATGCCTGAGACAGCACATCGCCTGGTGATGCACATTCACATAATTCCATGGGGACTGGGGAATAAGACTCCAGCTGCAAGTAAATTCAGTATCAGCCCGGGCAAGACCTCCCTCCCCTCAGCCCAGTGCAGGCCAAGCAAAGGAGCTTGGTGAGCTGCACCCAGCAAGTCACTGAGCCGCTCACGACCTCTACCTGAGGGCACGACTGAGAGCCCCTGTTTAGCATGGCCGTACCACAGAGCCAGGTAGGGGACAGGGTGCATGGCCCCGGGCCGTACCTGTTCGGGCTGGGGTTCCAACATTGGCTCTGGGGCTGGCGGTGGCACCCCCTCCGTGGGAGCGGTTCCCTGCTTCAGCTCCGGGGTTGGCGGCGGCACCCTCTCTGTGGAAGCGGTTCCCCGCTTCGGCTCCGGGGCTGGCGGCGGCACCCTCTCCGTGAGAACAGTTCCCCGCTTCCTCCTGATACCTTGCATCTCTTTGGGGCTGGAGGACCGGGCAGCACTGCCCGGCTCCCGCCCGAAGTCCCCACCTGTCGCCGGCTTCTTGGCGGCATCCCGTGTCGGCGGCTTGGTGACGCGGTTGCCGATGTCCACCAGAGCGGTGCGGGGACGCAGCCTCATACTGAGGGCGACCGTCGCGGAGCGCTTGAGGACCGGCAGCGGGCTGCCCTTGCCTGACTGCTGGGTGTGCTGCGGGGAAAGAAGAGGCCGGG